CCTCCAGCGACCCTGGGCGCTGGCAGCGATCCCTGCATAGCCTCCTGTCCTCAGGTCGGAGTTCCAGCTGCTTCCAGCCCCAGCAAGTCAGCTGGGCTGTACGGAGGGGGCCCTACATTTTGTCACTGTTTGGCTGGAGAACCTCCTCTGAGATAGCAGATACTTTGATGAAGTGATTAATACAGATAGAAAGATACATTTGTCGGGTGGTGGCTTTTTAGAAAAAAATTTTTAACAGAAAACAAAGAAATTGTCTTCTCTTGACCCAGGTTGTACTATGAAACTTTGCAACAAATGCCTTTGCTTTCTTTTACTTCAGTATCCTTTCCCCCTTTTTCTTTTAAGGAGCCCTTAGGGAAACCATGAAGTAACCCTGCACATTCCAGAAACACAGTTATGACAAAATAGAGCCCAACTATGAAGTGATCAATTTTTTTGTAAATGTTAAGAAAGAAAAACAGCAGAAACAAAAGTGCACATAACAATTCAAGATTTCTTTAAAAAAAAAAAAAAGAAAGTAACTTACCTGTTGGGACATTCTGAATAAAAGGTTAGTATCAGCGTTTTGCCATGTCCCCATGAACCCTGGTTCAGCCGCAGTCGTTCTGGTTCCGAACTGCATGGAGTTGTCAGTACAGGAGTCTCTTAAAGTCAAGTCTCTTGCCCTCTTTGGCTCTCTGTCTCTCTGTGTCTCTCTTTCTCTCACATCCACTTCTGCCTCTTCTGACTGAAAAGTGAAGGTGGATTTTTTGAGCCTCTTGGCAGCCAGTAGCAGGAGTGTAGTGTAGTTAAGAAGCTGGCTGAACTGTGCATTTCATTTGGGAAGGGGGAGACTTGGGGGAGGGAGGGGGTCCGAGCTTCTTTCGCACCTTCTGCACAGATACCCCTATCATTTATGCATAGATTGTGACTCCCCGAGCTTGCCTTTGCTCAGTTTAACAGCTGCCTGTCAGGTGTGCAGGCAGCACTGGAGACCCAACCATCAGCTTCAAACTCTCAGCCACTGCATGTCATTGGATAGCAGAGCTAAGAGTCAACTGCACCGTTCCACTGTCAGGCACCAAATGACACCCTGCACTAACCCCTCTCCAGACACACTGAGAGATACACACTTCTGCACGCTCCAAGCAGCACCACGATCACAGACCGACGGTGCACGGGGTGAGGAGAAGCTGGGGCCCTTCCCAGGGAATTTCCCACAACAATGCTTTCAGGTATAACATGCAGTATCTGGCATCAGCCTTTGCTTTAACATTTGTAAACTGCTATGCTGAAACATTATTTTTTTCTAGTTATACTGGGAGAAAGAAAAATATTTGGATGTAAGAGAATGTAAAATTGGCTCAGTTGTTGTCAAAATGTTAACTCCTAAAAGTCATATAGTATGTGCTGGGCTATTTATAACCACATATCAACGCCTAGAGAACATAATATACATAGTGACATAACTTTACACTCTAGGAAGTAAATAAATAAACTTAGCAGTTTTTTTAACATGGAAGATGCACAGTAAACATTTGCAAAATACATACATGTATACTATTTAATGCCCAGTACCTCAGGTCATTCATTAATTACTAAATTGGATGTTAAGTAATAAGAAATTGAATGACAAAGGAAAAAAGTATACCTTTTCTTAAAGTTCAAAAGTAGAGAAAAGTCCTTTGTGAAAGTTCCTGGATGAAGCATCTACAATATCCTTTCAAATCATAAAAAAAAAGAAAAAGATGAAGAAAAAAAAAATCCTGTCCCATTTCAGGCAAAAAGTAATGACTATAAAATTCCATTTTTCATTCAACATCTCTATGGAAAATTCTATAACATTTTCCTGCCTGTTGAAATATAACCTCCGATAGCATGTCATATTCTTAATTAAACTAGTTTTTAAAAGAAAACATCTATTTATTAGATAGTATTTATCGTACCCTATTTATGGAAAAGCAGAACTGAACAGAATACACTGTACATAAACAGTGACTTCCAAATGGAAAGCTATATTCATGTCATCTCATAAAAGTAGTCAGCAGGAAAAAGCCATCCTTCCTAAACTTAAAATGTAAGGAACATTAATCTTCAACCACCTACAAATATCGAGGACAAATGTACCACTCTCCTTGCTCCTTCTTAAACTGAAGAATAACAATAAACCTTACTCTCTGAAACAACAAAAGAAACAGAAAAGAGCTTCAATGGCAGCTCGGTGTCATTAGTGGACAATGAGAAAAGATGAGAAAACGTACACTATGTTGACACAAATGTGCCTTCCCCTCTAGAACCAACATCTCCTGAAAGCTTTTCTGTTAAACTTCCCTCCGGTTCACCACCATTAAGCACAAAAAAGTCTCAAAAGCAGCAAATTCAATATCTGAGAAGAAGCAAACAAGAACCCAAAGAATTGTTGCCTTAAAATATATTAAGTCCACCTGTGGTCAATAAAAATATTCTTGAGGGGGGAGGGCAGGAAAAGACCCTATGAGTCAATTGTCAACAGTGACTGTACCTTTACAGCTAGCTATTACCCACTTAAACTCCCTCTAAAATTTGCTAGCCTCTTGATTTCTGAAGTGGCACTCAGTGCCTCAGTCAAGCTGCCTGCTCAGCTCCTGACCTTCCCACTAATGGCTGTTATTTGTGGGAGGCTTAAGGACACTGTCAATAGCATGCTTCCTCCTCGCTCCTCTCAGGCTGTTGTATTGCTTTGCCTGCGTGTTCTCTCTCGCCTGCCTCTTGCTCTCTCTAGTTCCCCCCTCCTCCCTTCCTCTCCCCTTAACTCCCTCTTCCTCTTCTTCCAGCCCCCACCCCTTCTTTCTTTGAGTCCAGCAGTCCTCTTCTTTCCCTGCTATCCTCCCCCCAACCCCTCTCCTCTCTTCTCCCCCCCCCTCTCTCACACACACACACACACAACACAAAAATCAACTGGCATGCAGCAGCAAGCACCTGCAGTAATAGACTCTTTTATTAAAACTGTTATTCTGCAAGACTTCAAATTCCCCGTGGACCGGGCCATGTCAAAGCCGATATAATTAACTAGAGGCTCAGCAACGGATCAATTACCAGACAAGCAAGTGATAGTGAAATCAATGAAAGATCATCAGCCACATTATCAGTGTTGCAACTCATTAGGGCAAAACTGAGAAATGTGCTCAAAGCGAGCCCAAGCAAGGTGGCATTACAAAACAAAGGGCTAATTTGGAGACCCTGCTGTGAACAATCTGTAACAGAATTAGCCTTTTTTCCCCCTAAACTGCACAGCTCCGTAACTAAATGTGACAGACTGAGAGAAGCAGTTTATTAAGACACCAACCCCAAGTTTATTTAGTTCATAAACTCTCTCCTAAAAAATCAATACAGTCTGTACAGGGTTATTAGGCTGACTAGCTAATACATCCAAATCTAGTCTGCTCGGCCAGCAGTCTTCTGACAAAATGCTATCTAGCGCAGGCAAACTGAGCTATTTCAGATATCAATGTCTGAGGTTGCTCTCGATGAAACAGGTCTGCCATGTAACTAGTACCTGCATATTACTGTCAAGGCACAAGCCTCAAAATTACAGAGATAGCTTTCTAATGTTCAAAATATTTTTTTCACAACAAATCTATATCATATGATACTGTACTGCGAAAGGTATTGGATTAAAGGAAAATTTAACTAGTCTGTAAGACTAGTTTACAAAGACAACAAGCTTTATTACAATAAGAGACAACAAAATATACCTACAAGAAACAAAAATGATTTTTGAGTTTGTCCATTGGCTCTATAGTCTGCAGAGTATGAAACACCTATATGGAATCATCTGTGTTAAAGTTATTTAAAACTGGGGGTGGTAGCAGTGGAGGCAGGTATCACTTCCACAGTAATTGCTTTTTTCTGCCCCGATTTTATGTATTTCAGGTTAAAGAACTGCAAATACTAAAGGCTATGTTTTGGCTTTCCCACGTTGACTGATAGTGAGAGATGTACCATGAAAATTAAGAAGTACACCAACTAGGTCTAAATGGCACCCACGATATTCAAGACAATATGGGAATGGGAATACCTCCACCTCATCAAAACTCATGCACAGAGTAAGAAACTCCCATGCAGTTTACAATGTAAAAACAGACTGGAGAACTGAAGAAAAAGATAACATTTTGAAAGTGATTTCTGATGTTTATGATGTTCAACATTTAAACTGTATTTTCGCAGAACTTCAATAAAATCCAACTTATTGATTGCTGTAAATAAACATCTCCCCCTTACTTTTGATACTTACTAAGCACTTCATAGCGCATGTTGAGTAATCTGTAAAAAAAACGTTAGACATATGTATTTTAAACCTATACTATAGATGGTGATGTTTTGGATAATAATTAAAAGTTGTAATTACAGAGAATTTTTTAAAAATCTTTTTGCATGTAACTACATACTGTGCATGTACCATCAATGAGATCCAATTAGTTGCAAAGAATTTGCATTTCAGTGTGTGTGGGATAACAAGACTATAGGGAGGCACAATGCAATTCCACCAGCAGAGTAAGACAGTGGGTTCTTTCTTGTTAGCTCTGTAAGCAAGAATTCCCACAACTGACTGTTTAAAATGTTACTGATCTTTTCATTATTTGGGTATTGAGGTGGGTTTAGGTTTTCCCCTCAAAAAAAAAAAAGTCACATGTTGGTTTCAACTATCAGCCCCAGTTAATAGCTGAAGGGACAAATGAGCAAAGGATTTTGTTTAGCCTGCATGTTTGTGGTTTTATTTTTGTTTTGGGAGGGGGGAGATCGTCCATACTTTTTGTTTTCTTCTTAATACTTACTAATAATTTCTTTAAAAACACACTGCTTTTTTAAAAAAATTCTATAACTGGGGGTAGGGAAACCTCATTGAGATAGTTATCTGTAAATATAAGGTTTGGTGATAAAGGCATGCATTTAGTACACTAAGAAAGTACTCAAGGATTTTTATGCTTGTCTAGCTATGTTCCAATCATGTAAATGTAAAATAAATGTATAGCTCATATACACAGTTTCACAAGCATCTCCAGGACTTCTGCTGGTCCACAGAACAATACCTGTAATTCCCCGGGTTCAGTTCAGCAGCTGTTAGCAGATTCTGTAATCTGTAATGACAGTAAACTGGCCTTTGCTCTTCTTTTATTCACTATTCATTTTCAAGGCTTGGTTAAGTACAGAGCTGGGTTAAAGATCAGTGGTTTTCCATGTGACACACTCTGGTATTCATCTAATGGCTTGTCAAGACAAAACTGTCCCTGTTCTTGCCAAAATAAAAATGACGCTCCACATCGCATGACAATCAGCACTTCCTAATGGAAAAACAACTCAAGCTTTTGTAATTCACTTATAGAAAAGTGTTTAATAATTGGCTATCTAGTCCTATGTGTGGAATTAGGTTGTCATTCTCAAAGGAGATTTTTTAAAAATGTTTTAGCCACTCTTCATTCTAAAGCAACAAACATACAGTTTATGATCAAATCAGACTTTACTCTATAAAAATAATGCTGAAGCTACAAATGTGTATGGCATTAAGGTATGTAACTTAATATATGCAAATTATGCAGAAATGGCAGGCTAGGCCCAGTCACAGAGGTAGGGAGAACCAATTGAGGAAATGTCATTTTTTTTTTAGAACAAAGTATGGGACTTGCTTTGCAACATCTGTTGGGCTGTGTAATATTAACAGATGTCTTAAGTGAAAAAAGGAAAAAGAATTAATAAAGGAAACCTCCTCTGAACAGATAATCCGCCCAAATTTCCATATTCCTGAGGGGGGAAAAGTTGACAGCAGCCTTTCTCCCTTGTGAAACCTGCCCTCCCTATTTTATTGTGCAAAGTTGTGTTTTCTATGTGAAGTTGAGGAGGAACGCTTTTGACTCACTGTAAAGAAGAGAATAAAGAAAAAAGAAAACTAACAACTTCAACTGTGGTTTCCCCTTGTGAATAATTATATCATAATCTAAGCTGCCTGTTTTCCCTTGAGTCACATACGTAATTTGATGGGAGGACAGTGAAAACTTCACCCCCAAAAAAACACTCAAAAAGATGATATATAACTGTACTGTGCCTTCATGCTTTGGGGGAAAGGAAGGAATGAAAATTTAAAAGCAGCTCTCGTAAGATAAGAGTTCTGATATGAACACATCACCACACATTAAGGTGCTCCTCTTCACAATTAGGATTCACCTATTATTTATACCTAAATCCTTGCACTCTCCACTGGCTCCTAGTTTCCTTCCATTATCACATTTCATATCCTTGTAAGGTATGACATGCCCCTCTTTCAACAGACAAGGGTTCCACAGCAGTGAAGTCTAATGATCACGAAGAGAACTTTTGGATTATACTAGCTGGATCCCTGTATTTAAATTTTAAGAAAACTGGGAAACTTTTCTTAGTTAACAATTTCCATTCGTGTTTCAATTTATTATATGATTTAGGCAAACCTGAATGTAGCCGCCCTTAATCCAGATTAAAAATATGATGCATGTATGCCAACCGCTGAATCTAACCTGGTGCTGGTTTGTGTGTAAATGAAGTGAACTATGGGCCTGTATCCTTCTATAAATCTTTCTCTCAGGTGACACCTATTCTATTGCTTATTCTCCAAAAATTTGTGACATAAATTTGGGTTAACAGCTAGCTCCTGGATTAATTAATTCAAAATTAGGTTAAAGATCTTGACATATTCAAATGAAGGGGGGAAATTGTGTTGTCCTCTCTGATTGCTGGCCTCTCTCTCCTATATGAAGGTCTGGGTTAAAATTGTACGTTATTTCATGTTTACCACTACACCTTATCCAGATGACTCTGGCAGTGGGCTGGAGACATTTCAGCATATAGAAATCTCAAGGCCTGCACACCCAACAGTCGCAGGTTCGATTCCCAGTCAAGGACTTGTACCTGGATTACAGGTTCATTCGATCCCCGGCCCAGGTCAGGGCGTGTTCAGGAGACAACCAATCAATGTGTCTCTCTCCCATCAATATTTCTCTATCTCTGTCTCTTCCCTCCCTTCCACTCTCTCTAAAAAAATCAAAGGAAAAATTACAGATCTTGTAACATAGAAATTCACACCTAAAACCTGTATGTTCATGTTGACCAATGTCACCCCAAAAAATTTAATAAATTTTTAAAAATCAATGGAAAAAATATCAAGTGAGGATTTACAAAATAAAATAACTGTTGTCTAAAAAATGTATGATTACCTACACGGAGGGAGGAAGCTTGTGCGCTAAACACATCATTATGTGACCTCAAACTAAGGGAGGAAAACAGGCCTCCTAAAATAAAGTATGAATAGGACACAAGTTTCAACCACTTGAAACAGCAGCATGAACATCCCTGCAAGCCAATACTACCTACAAGCTTCACCTTTCTATGGCAAAGGGAGAAACCGCCCTGCACCAACTAGAACCATCAGTGCGATACCATCTCTGCTGATAGCCTAGTCAAGGGCTCTGTTTCAGAGAAACGCATCCAGGACCTATCCAAATGCCACAATTGCTTGATACACTATTAAAAATAAAAAGATTTGGGTAAGGTGTGGTAGCTGAGGTAGCTTATACAATGTTGGGGAAATGATGAATCCTTAGAATCAATATCAGCAGGTGCAAAAGCATTGATCAGCATGAATCTGGAGCCTCCACAAGATCAAACATTCTACCTAACCTGTTTTGGTTTAAAAACAGAAAACTGACTTTACTCATCTTCTCTCAGGTACAAATGGTGACACTGGCTTCTTCTACCATAACCTAGAGTAAGTATCTTATGAGAAAAGTCTTCTAGAGGAAAAGAACCAGTGATGTGTTTCCTTAAATGAGTATCAAAACACATGCTGTGGAGCATAACATGGGGAATTAGGTTTGTATGACCATGAAGAGCTTCAAGGATTGTAAACAGTATTAATTTCTTTATTTACTTCCTTCTAAAGTCTGCAGACCGAGAAGCCTGCAGCTCCAGTGAAAATGTCATAATAATAGTTTAAATTACTGTCAGGAAGAAAGATTGAGATTCACAGACACCCAGAAAATCCAACACTGCTTTTGGAATTATCACAGAAAAAAAAAGAGGCAACTCTATTGATGGCACCCCCTTATATGAAATTCACAGACCTAAAAAGCAAATTTAAAAAGTGCAATAATACCAGTGACTTGGTTTCAAAATCTTTGGAAAACCACAGAGATTATTTTATATACATCCATATTTTAGGGGAAAATTTGGAAACAAATCAAATTTGAATGAACTTGGAGAGTGTTTCCAAAATTAAGAATCCCAGAAGATGCCAGAAACTCATTAACAGCAAGTTAAAAGAGGACAGAATTAACAGGTGGCTTAGGTCTGAATAGTAATGATCCTCAGTGGGGAGTAGTGGCTGCAAGAGGCATAAGGAAAGCTCCTGGTTGCAGGTGATGTTCTGCATCTCCTGCTACTTGGTGGTTCTGGCAATGATCGCTTTGTCATTCATCAAGCAGCATACACTTACGATTTGTGCACTTTCCTGTATGCGTGTTATATTTTGATTCTAAAAGTTGACTACTGCTACTGTCAATGGTAATACTACTAAAAACAGTGATAATAAATTAAAACTATATTTAAGAACGAAAAGAAAAAGGAAGGAAAAGAAAAAGTAACGGAGGGTGGGAGAGATGAAGGGAGGGACAGAAGAAGGCAGCAGATACTTTATTACTGTCAAAAATCATTCAGATAACTGTCATTACATGTACTGCTTGCTGGCAACAAATTTTTCAAATGTAAGAAGTGTTGGGAAATCAAGTAAATAACAGTTTCACAGAATGAGGATGAATTGGAAAATAGTAAAAGGGCGGGAGAAAATACTTAGGTGAGCCATACCTTAACTAGGCAGCACAAGTGTGTGGCTATCTCCGAGAGGCTTAAATGGAAAAGAACCCCACAACACAGGATCCTGAAACCTGCTCGCCAGTCTTGCCCTTTGAGCCTGTTCTCTGACAGACTGAAGTGTGAAAATTTGGGGGTGGGTATTTTGGGGTAGGCAATGAGTATGCCTACTGAGAGACTGTGAAAGAACCTACAGTCACTACTATTTAGAGGTACTAACTATATCAAGACAGATTTAAAAAAAACAACAACCAGCAATTGCAGATATACTCCTCTGACCACCAAAACCCTTTTTAAGAGTTAAATCTTCTAAGTCTGACAGTAGTCAATCACTAAATAAACAAAGGCTGGAGAAAGGAAGTAATGAAGTGAGAATGACTGAATCATTTGCTAATTGATTGATAGGGAATACACGTTTGTCCTGACTAGTTCTGTTTCTAGCTGCCTTTTCTTGTATTTGTTATAAAGAAAAACATTCAAAATTAATGAACATTTTTCACCCTTGTTAGGGAATATTTGACCTACTTGCCAGGTATAAGAAGATGTGGGGAACAGGAAAGTTAAGACAGAGTCCCTGCTCACAGGAAGTTTACAATCTAGTACAGGAGATGAGCCATGTACAAAAACAACCTTAGTAAAACAATGTGATAAGAGAAGCAACAGCAGAACCCTATACAACTTGGAAAAGGAGATTCCTTCCAATCCGTGTGGTAACAGAAAGTTTCAAGTCGTGGCAGCATTTGCACTGGAACTGCAGAACTGGTAATGCCCCTAGAGAAGTGATCCAATTAGCCTAGATTCTAGGCCAGTGATGGCGAACCTATGACACGCGTGTCAGAGGTGACACGCGAACTCATTTTTTTGGTTGATTTTTCTTTGTTAAATGACATTTAAATATATAA